TCCACGTCCTCTGTCTGGGCTGCGAAAACTTTGCTGATATGTGACTCGGTCGAAGTGACTTTTTTGGCCCCCCCCCCTTGTAGTTGGTTCAACAGGATTTTTGCTTGAAAGGGAACACTGCATGGTGATTGGGTGAGCACCGACTCTCCCAAACAGGGCATATCATGTGCGCGTTGGATTTTAAAGTGGAGTCGGGGGGGGGTGGGAGGGGAAACCAAAACGAGAAAACGAAGAAAGTCAACGTCAGATACTCATTTTGCCTCAACGCCGCAACGTTTCTCTCAGAAGGCAAATACAACCTCGCCCCCTCCTCCCAAGAAGAGCAAAGTAGACCCTGTACGAATTCCGTTGGCGTGAAAACCGACCTTCTTTCAGGCCTAAAACTATGAGCCGCCCTCGTCGCAGCGACTAAAATACGACTCTCTTAACTCTTGCGGACCCCGTCCTCCGCTCTACCGTGCCCTCTGTTTGGAATATCCCAATGATGATGGGGCCCTGCGCCCGAAAACCACTCCTCCACTCGCGACCGCCCCGTCCCGCTCTAATACGTTTGCGCTAAATTTTCTATCTTCCCTCCAGTTTTCCCTCTCTTTTTTCCAGACAACTAAAGAGCTGATCTCCAAGTTAATCCCCACCCATCAACTACTGATCTCAACTATCAGAAAGTGGTTATCTTTCGTATGACGCCGCAATAATACGGCCCACCCGAATGAAAATCTTCGAACGCCTCTGGACCATGTGAAAGAACCTTCCTTGACACATCCAAGGCGAACGCAGATGAATTGTAATGGTATCTTCGCTTTACAGACAATAGCTTTCAGCGATTTTCCTGTGTTCACGCACGAATGTTTCTTCATTAACTGAGCCTAGCCATTCGAAAATTTCCTTCCAGGGCTACTCCGGTGCACAGAGCCTTATGGCGCTATCTGCAAAACCATTTCCTTATTTCCTTTTGCTTATTAGACGTTGACCTTGTTGCTCTAAGTGTGGTTCGCAGGGGGCATTCGGCCGTTTTGGGCTGGGGGCAGCCGTTGAAAAGTGTTAATCTCCCGAGCTAACTCCAGGAACTCTTCTCTTTCCTTCTCACCTGATGATACCGTTTTGGCTGTTCCTGAGCATGTTCCTGTTGATAGCCCGTTTGGTCCCCAGAGGATGCGCCGACCGGAAATGGACTAAGATGTTCTTGCTGGTGGGTTTTCGGTACCACTTGGTCCGATAGAACCCGCGCTCAAGCTGGATCTGCACATTGAGGAATGAGAGCCAACTGTTAGAAGGCTTCTCCCTCGTAAACCGAATATTCTCAGCTTGGCTATTAGGAGGTCGAAGCACGAGTCCATTTCCCTCTCCGTGGTGCAGACGATGAGACAGTCGTCTATGTAGCGTTTGTACAAAATGGGTCGGCGATCCAGTAACGGTTGTTCTATCTTGGACATGTAGGCAATCGCTAGGACTGGTGCCAGCCGCTGACCCATGGCCAAACCTCTGAGCTGCCTGTAGTATTGGCCGGACCACCTAAAAATGGAACAATCGAGACACTCTTTAACAAGTGTCATTATGTGGGCTGTCGACAGGCCATACATGTTGATCGACGCCTCGTGCTCACTAAGGAGTTAGCCTGCATGGCTCCTTCGTTTGACACGTTTGTGTAGAGGGATGTTCCGTCACCTGCCCAACCCCACATGTGTCACATGTCCTTCTGGGCGGGAGGGGGACTGCATGGCCTCAGGTGTGATCTACCTGATGTCATGCACGAGTTGTGGGGATGAGTACATCGGGGAGACTGGACGACCCCTGTGCTCCAGGGTAAAGGAGCACCTAGATGGTCTGAAGGCGATCTAGGCCAGAGACCCCCAGGGTAGTCATCGTGTACAATCCATGAAGGCGTGGGTTTGAAGGTATTCGTTAGGCGATTTGATCGTGAGAACAAGAGGACTTATGCGCGCTAATCTTTGGAAACGCAGCGTTTGGATTATGCGCTAAAAATCCCAAAATGAACAGAAAGGACGAATGCCTGGCCATCACAAACGAGCTCGCCCCGTTTGCTGACCTGTGTGGGCTTCGAATTGCCATCGGCTTCGAGTCGAGGGCTCAGTCGTCGGCTGAAGCACCCTCGCGGGATCCAGTTTAGCGGCCTGGTCTCAAGCAAAAACTGCCGCTACATTCAGGCGTGACGGTCGTTATACGTGGTTTGACCCATGACAGGTTTTTCTGGACCCTTCTGATCTGGACGAACTTGTTTGAGCGTTGGAAATGGATACCGGGGGGGGGTATTTCGCGCTTAAATTCTTTGACTGTTCAGGCCCTTACGAGGGCGATAACGCCGAAATGTTAGCCAAATAAAACTGTTATCATCATTGGTTCACGGCTATAGCAGCACCTTAAGAAAACCTCACAATATGCCAAGACTCATCGAGGGTCGAACGTGGACGCTTAGAGAAGTTAGTAGTTCAGAGTGCCCGGAACTTCTATCCGTAGAAATGTCCGAGGGAGGCGTTGTTGCCGAAACGTTTGCACAATAAATCATCTATACAATCTCGGAAGGCTAAGGCAACATACGAAGTGAGTTCAAACTTGCAAGCCACTCTGCCCGCGTTTTTTTTTTTTGGATTTCCTTAGCTTCTTGCATGATAGCACCGTGACTACTCGAGGTGCAAAAGATCTTTAGACCCCACTCTTGCAACTTGGAACTCCTTGATGACAGCACTGAGTTAGGATCCGCCCTTCTGGTTCCGCTTGACTGTCTCTACACAGCATCGCCCTCGAGGATTATCAGCATCGCCCTGACTACATCTTTGCGCCATACCGTCGCCCCTTTCTCTTTTTAACACTTCGCTTCTCCGCTGCTCATTTAATGTTAAGAACCAGTCGGAATCTTATTGGAGGCGTTTCCGACAGTTTGCTTTTCCCTTCCTCCCTAACATCCCACTTACCATATGGGCTATTGATTCCTTTAACTTTGCAAACGGAGATCGCTGGCGCTACCTTCAGAGCCACAGTTAGAACAGAATGAAGAATTTAGCGGCATTTCGCTCTCACGCTGGCAGTGGATTCATTTCAGTTTTGTAACGTTCCGTAAACAGGGTACGTTCTGGCATTAGGGGAAATTTTTGCAAAAAACGACCCCTCTTGGAATTCCCTCCACTGGCACAACCTTCCGCTTTCCCTACCTGCCATGATACGTAGCATCTTCCCGAATGTTCCCAATTTCCTACCACTTCTTGGGGTTCTTTTTCCAAAAATTTCTTCACTTTCTTGCAGGAAACCGCTGTCGAGAGGGGAGTGTATACAGTGCACCTGAAACAAGGCAAACTTAGAAGCGTCAACAACTGAAAACATTGTTCTCGAAACTTAGTACAACCCCTTGCCCCTGGCTACCAAATAAAACCACTCGGTAGGGATCCTCAACGTGTGGCGCAGAGGTGCCCTGTCCCAATATAACAGAGGCTTTCGAGTGTTGAAGAATGTTTCACCCGTGCCGGTGCGCCAAAAGGAGTCATTCCTCCAAACCGACTCATGCACCTACGAATGTATGTCCTCAGCTGATCGCATAGGTAGAGCTACCTAGACAAACGGGCTTATCTCAATTGGCCACCTTTTCAAACTTGCTAAAGAGGATGAGCGTACAATGAGGACAGCGCAATGGACCAAGCAACCCCACCCATACAGTGGTCCTGAAATGTGTATTTAAAGGCAGTTGGCACGATGATTTGGTGCTCGCCAAAAATGCTAGGCGCTATATAGTGGGGAAATGGCGAAAGAACGGAGTGAAACGGTCAAAATCCTGCGAAGAAAGAGCCTCCGTTCTCAATGTGTTAGAAATCAATTTTGGACGAGTTCCTGTAGGCATCTTGCCAATAACGCTACCGAAGCTAGGCTGCATAATTGTGTATTCATATCCAGCAGCACCCGCGTCGCTTATAAATTACTTCGCTCATTAATTGTCTTTAGCAAATGAAGCGATTTAGAGGGGCAGGAACACGGCGTCGTCTTGCGGGCGGCGCGGGCAAGGGCGGGACGTAAAGTGTGGCTTTGATAGCCGCCCTTCACAAGCGGCACCTTCCCTGGAAAACCATTTGCAGCCCTTCCTCAGGAGTCGCGGAATTCCCGTTCCTGCAGCGTATTACGATCTTCACCTGGAAAACACATTATGCAGCCCTTGTCAGGGTCGCGGATTCCGTCCTGCCGGCGTAATTAGTCCTGCTCGTCATTGGGGAGGATGTTTTATGCGTGCAACTGCCTTTTAAAACGCGAAGGTGACAGACGTGTGAGATTAGTAGAGAGCAGAACAGAAATCGCGCCTGAAGGCACTGCGTGACGCCATTTCCCGTAATATCAGCAAAGCTTTGTTGCAGCCAGAAGAGGACGTGGCATTACGACTACCAGGGCGGAGGAACAACGCCCGCTGGAAACGTGCCAACAATCGCTTTAATAGATACGCTGCACGTATGTATTCATTCATCCATACAAATTGTACTTTATGAAGGAAGTGGTAAGAGTAAAAGCATCGATGTGACGGTCCGACCATTTGTGGGTGGGCGGTTGCGATGGGCGTCAGGGTCGGGATGTTGCAACTTTGGTTGAGAAATGCGCCACTACTAAAGGACGCAACAGTATTCGTGCTAGGTGTATCGACCCTGTACGCTTTGTCCGATTCACGTGCCACTTCGCCTTTGGAAAAAAAACCTTGTTCCCCTACACAGGCTACTCAGTAAACCTTCAGTAGCATTTTTGTATTTTTGCACGAAATTCCGCGAATTTCGTTCATGACTGTCACGCAATTAACAACAAAGCCTTGTTAACAATCATTTATGGAGACAGTACTTGAACACATAGAATTCTTAGACACACGCTAAATGCTTGACCCATGGAGATGGATTGATAGGTGATGGTGATTCACAGAACTGTGGAAGAAATCGAGAGTGAGAGATCGGCTGGTTCACAATTGAAATAATTTATGCTTGTCGAAGACTGAGATTGTGATTGTTATAGGATGATGTCGTCTACCATACGTTTCTGCCATCCTTCTTCGATACCGTCTTCAGAATTTCGCCCTGCAGATACGGGTTCTTGTGTGATTTTTGAAGATGAACTGTTGGAGGTTGTCGAATGGAGCGCTTGCGTCGGGGTGGCAACTGGAGCATAATACTAATCAATGCGCTGTATAGTAACTGCGAAAATGAACCGTAAAATCTAGGCATAGGTCAGAAGATCCGAGTTGCAGCGACAGGTACGCGCCTCACGACTTTTGCTAGCTAGTTTACTCTTTGAGAGAGATTGTGTCAAATGAGGTGGTACAGAAGAGGCGACTTCGTCACCTTTGCAACGACGAAACTTTGGTCGGCGTTCGCGTAACTCTGATCTTTAGACGCCGGCATAACCTATTATTTTCTCTTTTTTGAAGTACGTTTTTATACTTAATCTTGGAATGTTCCAAGCTTTCAAAAGCGCAGACCTTTGGATAATCTCGAGAGAACTACTTAATTTTTTGGATCAACTTATTTTTCGAGGTCTTGTGAATGAAATAGCTCTAAAAAACCAATGGCTAACCTCGTCTGCACTTCGTTTCTCATGGAATTTCTTTGCAATCATGTTGCGGTGGAGAGATTGTTCGTCAAGCAGCTCCTGAAGCGATGCTCCAAGGTCCGAAGCCTCCTTCTCAGCGCAACTGAAAAGGAAGTAGGATTTGATGTCGAAGGAAACCGCTGTCACAGGCTTTTTCTTGCAGTTTTGAGCTTTTGTTTAAGTTTGTGGTAATTATTTGTGGTGACCGATATTTCTCTATTAGCGGCCCTTTAAACAAACTTGACGCAACAAATCACCCAATGAAAAAACAGGAAAGCACCTGAAAACGTCTACTGCTATTTGGTGCCAGCCGCTCCCTCCAAACCACTTTTGCTAATCAATACTGAGGAGAGTGGAAGATTGTGAGGGTGAGTCCCATCGTTAAGGCACTTGTGCACGAAGCCATTTCCAAATTGGAACGCATTGTCGCGAAGAACGTGCACACTTTTGTGGAAATACTTGCGCAGTCACGTGCACAAGCAACTACTGTTACGCGGGGGACGGGGTAAGGGTGGTGATGGCTCTCAACGAAATTCCCCTCCCCTTGTCCATAGCGAAGTTTTGGGACAGTAAGGGTAGAAGGCAAATGAGATGATGGTAGGACAGCAGCTTTGAAAGGGTATGCATCCTATGTTAGTGATGAGGACGTACAGGCAATTAGGACTCACTTTGAGAATGTGGAAGTACTGTAGATGTACATTAAAATGCGTTGATGTAGAAATCCG